AAAGAAAGTAAATTGTAGAACAATATGAACAATAAAACATAAATAGCAATTATAGAAAATACATTTTCAAAACAAAAAGCAAGCCAGCTAGCTTTAAATCTTTTACCAACAAAAAAATATAATAGAATATTTTCCAAATTAGGTATCCATCTTCATCCCTGAATTATGTAGTTTGGAAGTAGCAACCGAAGCCTCATGTTGTGAAAGATCTCATTCTGGGCAGTCGTATACAATTGAAGAAGACACATCAAAAGAGCAATTGTTCTTTCCAAGAAGCATCCTTTATATGTTTTTTTCCTTTTGCCTCTGAATGATTTCTCCACAGATGTACTTCAAGATTCTTTGTGTCACTCGCAGCCGCGCATATTCCTGTAGAAGAACCATTTCCTGTAGAAGATAACTCCTGAAAAGCATTGTTCCTGAAAATGAAATCAATCTGAATAGAAAGATTCCTGTTAAGGATAGTTCCTGAAAAGGATTCATTCTGAATTAAAAAAATCCTGAAAGGATAAGTCCCGAAAAGGATAATTCCTGAAAAGGATAAATCCTGAAAAGGGTGATTTCTAAAAGGATGATGCCTGAAAAGAATGAAAAAAAACAATGAAAAAAGGCAAGAAAAAAATATTCCAAAGGAAACAAAAAGGTCGACAACTATTTTCAAAAAATATATAACAGAAAAATGCATCGTCTATAATCAATTCTGATCATCAAAAAAACATTGAAAAATAAGTGAAAATAAGTAAAAATAAAGAAAAAACACTTCTATGATAAGTTCATATAACTACTAATATCTTCATTAAGTGCCTAAAGTGAAATTATCTTCATTTTGTGGTCTTAGTTGGGGAAACTGCACTGTGAAGGAGCGAGACCGGATGCTGGACGGGATGAAGCCGTGGAAATAGCTTGGGGAAACTTCGCTGGGAGGGAGCGAGACCGGATGCTGGGCGGGATGAAGCCGTGCAAATAGCTTGGGGAAACTGCACTTGGAAGGAGCGAGACCGGATGCTGGACGGGATGAAGCCGTGGAAATAGCTTGGGGAAATAGCTTTGGGAAACTTCGCTGGGAGGGAGCGAGACCGGATGCTCGACGGGATGAAGCCGTGGAAATAGCTTGGGGAAACTGCGGTGGGAGGGAGCGAGACCGGATGCTCGACGGGATGAAGCCGTGGAAATAGCTTGGGGAAACTGCGCTGGGAGGGAGCGAGACCGGATGCTCGACGGGATAAAGCCGTGGAAATAGCTTGGGGAAATAGCTTGGGGAAACTTCGCTGGGAGGGAGCGAGACCGGATGCTGGACGGGATGAAGCCGTGGAAATAGCTTGGGGAAACTTCGCTGGGAAGGAGCGAGACTGGATGCTGGACGGGATGAAGCCGTGGAAATAGCTTGGGGAAACTTCGCTGGGAGGGAGCGAGACCGGATGCTGGACGGGACAAAACCGTGGAAATAGCTTCGGGAAACTGCGCGGGGAGGGAGCGAGACAGCATGCTGGACGGGACAAAACCGTGGAAAATAGCTCGGGGAAACTGCGCTGGATGGGAGCGAGACAGCATGCTGGACGGAAAGCTGTGCTGGGAGGAAGCGCGACAGCATGCTGGACGGGACAAAACCGTGGAAATAGCTTGGGGAAACTTCGTTGGGAGGGAGCGAGACAGCATGCTGGACGGAGAAGAAAGCGTGCAAATAGCTTGCGGAAAGTTGCGCTTGAAGGGAGCGAGACAGCATGCTGGACGGGATGATGCCGTGGAAATAGCTTGAGGAACTTCGCTGGGGGGGAGCAAGACAGCATGCTGCACGGAGACGAAAACTGTGGAAATAGCTTGCGGAGAGCTTTGCTGGGAGGAAGCGCGAGAGGATGAGACAGCATGCTGGACGGAGAGGAAACCGTGCAAATAGCTTGCGGGGAGCTTCGCTGGAAGGGAACGAGACAACTGGACGGATGGGAAACCGTGGAAATAGTTTCGGAGAGCTTCGCTGGGAGGAAGCGAGATAGCATGCTGGACGGAGAGGAAACCGTCCAAATAGCTTGCGGAGAGCTTCACTGGGAGGGAGCGAGACAGCATGCTGGACGGAGAGGAAACCGTGAAAATAGCTTGCGGAGAGCTCCACTGGGAGGGAGCGAGACAGCATGCTGGACGGAGAGAAAACCGTGGAAATAGCTTGGGGAAAGCCCGCTGGGAGGGAGCGAGACAGCATGTTGGACGGAGAAGAAACCGTGCAAATAGGTTGCGGAGAGCTTCACTGGGAGGGAGGGAGACAGCATGCTGCACGGAGGAAAGTGTGAAAATAGCTTGCGGAGAGTTTCGCTGGGAGGGAGCGAGATAACATGCTGGACGGATAGGAAACCGTGGAAATAGCTTGCTGAGCTGGGAGGGAGCGAGACAGCTTGCGGAAAGCTTCGCTGGGAGGGAGCGAGACAGCATGCTGGACGGAGAGAAAACCGTGCAAATAGTTTGCGGAAAGCTTTGCTGGGAGGGAGCGAGACAGCATCCTGGACGGAGAGGAAGCCGTGGAAATAGGTTAAGGAGAGCTTCGCTGGGAGGGAGCGAGACAGCATGCTGGACGGAGAGGAAACCGTGCAAATAGGTTGCGGAGAGCTTCGCCGGGAGGAAGCGAGATAGGATGCTGGACGGAGAGGAAACCGTGCAAATAGCTTGCGGAGAGCTTCGCTGGGCGGGAGCGAGACAGCGTGCTGGACGGAGAGGAAACCGTGCAAATAGGTTGCGGAGAGCGTCGCTGGGAGGGAGGGAGACAGCATGCTGGATGGACGGGAAACCGTGGAAATAGCTAGCGGAGAGCTTCGCTGGAAGGGAGCGAGACAGCTTGCTGGACGGAGAGGAAACCGTGGAAATAGCTTGCGGAGAGCCTTGCTGGGAGGGAGCGAGACAGCATGCTGGACGGGACAAAACCGTGGAAATAGCTTGCGGAGAGCTTCGCTGGAGGGAGCGAGACAACATGCTGGACGGATAGGAAACCTTGAAAATAGTTTGCGGCAGAGCTGTTGGCACGGGTTTTTTCAGGACAAATGCCATCATTGCGATTGGCCTGAAAAAATTGTGGACCCAAGGCTGGTCAAATGGTCCCAAGACCGGTCAAACGGTTTGCAAAGGCTGAAAAATGGGACATGCACAGAGAAGCTTTTACACAAAAAAAGCCTTTACACAGAAACTTTGACACACAGACGCGTTTACAGAGACACAGAGGAGTCTTGACACAGAAGCCTTTACGCACAGAAGCTTTTTTGCACAGAGTAGCTTTTACACACAGAAGTCTTTACACAGAGAAGTCTTGAGACAGAGAAGCCTGTACACACAAAGGCTTTTACAGAGAGAAGCCTTTTGTACAAAGAAGTCTTGACACAGAGGAGCTTTTACGAGAGAAGTCCTTACACAAACGAGATTTACACACAGAAGGTGTTACAGATAGACGTTCTTTCGGCGCACAGAAACTTTAAGACAGAGCAGCTTGTACACACAGAAGCTTTTACACAAAAAAGCCTTTACACAGAGAAGTTTTTCACACAGGAGCTTTTGCACAAGAAAACTTTTACACAGGAAAGCTTTTACACAGAAACTTTCACACACAGAAGCTTTGTACACAGAGAAGTCTTTGCACAGAGGAGCTTTTGCACACAGAATCTTGTACACACAGACGCTTTCACACACACACAGGAGGTTTTACAAACAGACAACTTTACGGCGCACAGATTTTTTACACAGAGCAGCTTTTACGCAGCGAAGCTTGTACACACAGGGGGCTTTTTTTACACAGAAGCTTTTACATAAGGTTTTTTTTAATACACAGAAGCTTTTACACACAGAAACCTTTACACACAGAAGCTTTTACACACAGAAACTTTTACACACAGAAGGTTTTACACACAGAAGCTTTTAACACAAAAAACCTTTAAACAAAGGAGCTTTTACACACAGACGGGTTTACACAGAGAAGTCTTTACACACGGAGGCGTTTACACAGGAAAGAGTTTACACGGAAGCGTTTACACAGAGTAGTTTTTACACAGAGAAATCTTTACACAAAGAAGTCTTGACACAGAGAAGCTTGCACACACAGAGGCTTTTACACAGAGAAGCCTTTTACACAGAGCGGCTTTTTCACAGAGGAGCTTTTACACAGAGGAACTTTTACACAGAGAAGCTTGTACACTCAGAGGCTTTGACACAGAGAAGTCTTTTACACAGAGAAGCTTTTGCACACAGAAGCTTTACACTTTACACAAACAAAACCTTAACACAGAGGAGCTTTTACAGACAGCAGCTGGTACGCAAAGAAACTTTCGCAAACAGAAACTTTTACACACAGAGCGCGTTTTACACAGAAGATTTTACACACAAGAGCTTTTACACCAAAAACCTTTACACAGAGAAGTTCTTGCCCACAGAAGCTTTTACTTGCAGAAGCTTTTATGCAAAGAAGCTTTTGTACAGAGAAGTCTTTACCCATCTTTTATCATGTCTCATTTTTCATGATCATTTGCCATCTGTCACCTTCATATATATCTTCGTTTTCATGCTCTTTTGGGCAGCTCCCTCTGTCGTTTAATTTTCATTTCGTTCTGTCCGTCCACGCTTCGTGCTCGCTCCCTCTGCGGCGAAGCAAACTAAACGAGAACGCAGAAATAGATAGCGACTAGACAGATGGGATAGAGTTAATTACATTAACAGAAATAGCGACTAGAAGACTGTAGGCGTAGCTGACACAGCATGCTGTGGTGAATCGTGGCCCCTGATACCATCAGCGCGCACGATGTTTAAGTAAAGATCTTACGTCGATTTCGTGCAGAGCACAGCTGGCCACACCCCAAGATTTTCAAGAAAAGGCGTGCTGTGTGCCGTCTTGCTTTTGGGTTCTCTGGCCCACCTTGTTTCTGAAAATCCATCCGTTTATACCCATTTATAGGGGATTTTCCCCCATGTAGCTCTCCATAAAAATCGAGTTGATCGGGGATTTCCCAGCCACCTTTGATTCCCGGAGATCCGAGGTTACAAGAACAAGGTCCTGAACTGGCGCGAGGGCATCGAGAAGGTCAGTTCGTGAAGCCTCTCGAGCCTCTCATGCCACTTCTTTCAACGGGGATAATTCACCCAATAGCTGGATGGTTTAACCCAATAGTTGGCTGGTTTAACCCAATAGCTGGATGGTTTAACCCAATTAACCCAAATTTCACTTATTAACCCAATAGTTGGTGAACATGCCATTAAAATTGATGATTTAGGGTGTACCCCCATTTGTGGAAACCTCCAAATCTGTAGAGTGTGAATATTTGAGCTGGTTCAATGACCTTTGTAGTGGGCTCCACATGCTTAGTGCTGAATTTGGTAGGTCGTGAAGATATATATGGTATTATGTGATGATATATGATTCATATGATATATGTGTGTCTCTGGTTTATATTCCCTCGCTAGGTTTCCCCATGAATTTGCCAAGTCATTAATATGGTTTTAATGTGTACATACTGTAATTATAATGCATAAAGTGTTTGCAAGTCAATACCTTATTTATGTGTATATAATTAGGATTCATGTATCTATGTATATATTACACAATACATGCCTAATGAATATTTACACATTCTATCTACCCCAGGGGTGATTATAATATAACATTCATGTTTATTCATGCATGTGTCATGGTCATTTGTTTTTCCCATCAAAGAGGATTATCATCAATCCGTTTTCATACACGTTACCCCATTAAGTTTGGATTCGCATGAAATGGGATGGATGACTATAAACCATTTACAGTACTATCTTTTGACCCTGCGACAGATAGCACACATTACCGTAATAATTCATGCAGTACTTGTCCCATGGCCAGGACCTGAATGAGGTTCTACAGACAGAGACGGTCTTCACCAATGTCTCCAAGGCGCGCCATGCTACGCGGAAATGTTTGCTGGATGTTTCCATGGGAAAAAAACCAGTTCATTTAACTAGGACAACTGAGAATTTAACTTGATATAATTTGATTTGAGTTGAACCTTGTTTTAGTTACTAATATAGTTAACTGGTTTCACGGTTCATTTAACCTGGTTAATCTGATTTAACTATGGACATACTGAGGTTCAACCAGGGCAAAACTTGAAATTTAGCATGAACCATGTGGATTTTATAACAGCAATGCAGTAACAAAAAAAACATGGAGGCTTAGGCATCCCAAACAGGGGATTAAACATGAACTGACAAATGATTACTGCAGCAATGAGCCAATGAGTCTTAATTAAAAGTGGATAACAAAAAAGTGGCTGCGTCCAAACATGAGCATTTGATCAGCTAAAACGATAGAAAGGAATCGAGTGGGACATGATGGAATATGTTTCACCAACAATACGGGGTTGGTATCGGATATCAGCGTAAAGAACTCTGAATCATGTCTTCATAACTGTAAAGGATATATAGGATTGAATATATTGCAAATATTATTTGCACATAATATCAGCATATCTACGTCCATAGCATTGTCTGTGCTTGGGCTGACTCGGGCGACCAGATGCGACCAGGCCGTGATTGCGAAAGAGAAAGATCTGCAAAAGGCTTTTGGCACTCTGGATTTGCCAGAGCACTCTGGCAAGATGCTGCCCAAGTGGGCCAGTGACCCAAAGTCGAGATAGGTGAAAAATAAATTTCAAAGGGCGTCTCCAAAGCAGGGTATTGCTTTGATGTGTAGTGTTGAAGGCAATCCCTCGAACCAGCTTGGTTTGCTGAGAAGGCACTGCTTCACTGAGGATTTGCAAAAAGATCTTGAAGGATGGTGATGTACAAGTCTCCGCATCTGTGCTGTAAAAGAACGTTTGTTGATTGGGGGAAATTAGGGCCCCGGGCCCGTGCATCCTGTATACCACGGGGTATATGATGGCGGTATGATCCACCAAGCCCTCTGGAATTTGAATATGGGGCTGTGGGTGGGTTTTCATTGATGTCGGAACTACCTCATACTACCTCCAAATATACGCAAATTGTTTGTCTGAGACTCAAAGGCAGCCAATCAGTGTACCTTCCATGCAGAGGGAGAGAGAGAGAGAGAGAGAGAGCGAGATACACGAAGATTGTGCATAGGTGGCGCATAGGTGCCTCTGGCACCGTGTGATAGTGTAATCATTTTAACGTATTTTATGAGTACAGATAGAATAATCCAGTAAAAACCCTGGAAACAAGTGAAATTCTTGAGCCGGTGACACCTTACACTGAGGACAAAGAACGCGAAGTTCACATGGAAAGCTTGTTCAAAGTCTCCTGGCTGAATGCTTTGCTCAACCTGGCTCTCGTACTCAGTTTACATACTGACAAGTGAATGAAGTGAACCCTACTGATATGTGCAATACTCAAAAGTTGGATGATATTATTATATTGCTGATTATTTCGGGATGGTCATCAACCCACTCATAGGGATTCAATTATGTTTGGATTCTCGTTAGGTGATGGATGACAATGCCTCGAATAAACCATGCGTTGACCATGGCCCTATTTTGATGTAGCTAAAGATGCTGGATATTGATGGGTTCAGTTAATACCCTTGTTGAAGGTTTGATAGAGGGGTTATACATGGTTCTACCAACGAATTATCTAGTTTATCAGGGATTCTCGATTGATTCTCGTAACCTTTTTTTTATTGGTTACATTTACATATATTTACCATATTTACCATGCTGTTTCCAGTAGTACGCCCATTTCATTTACTTCAAACGTATCGTACGTCGATTGGACAACTGCACCCAGACAGACGTCACCTTTGGAGAGGGGGATGGTTTATGACATTGTTTTAACCACATTATTCGATTCAAGTGGTTAAATAACAATTTTTAGTGAACATTTAGATAAATTTAAGTGAATCAAATCAGATTGAACCTACTTAGAGAAACATTCGAACAGCAGACTTAGGGCATCTATGCTCCAGTACTTTGACGTATATCGGCCACATGGCTAAGTTTTGTTGATGATTTACCCATTCAGAATCGACATTTTTCCAGTTCGCTTTTTTTGGGGAAATCACCACTTTCGGTAAATCCCATCGTAAATCTTCCATTAAGTCATCATTGCTTTATGGCCAGATCCTCATTTTGGAATATGTTAGATGGTTAAATTGCCAAGGGGCAACTGGGATGCATCGCGTTTCTTAAGTATGATGTCGATATACCTATCAATTCCTATCATTTCCTACAAGATGGTCCCGCTTATCTTTGTTACGAACCCTATGAATACGAAACACAATAGTTGTATTCCCCTAACCAACCCAACAGTTAACCAAGTTATATAAAGCCAACTTAGCTATCTAAATCCAATGAAATCCCATGAAATCACCATTTTTGCCATGAAATCCCATGAAATCCCATTAAATCATCCCATCCCATATAAATCATTAAATCCCAATGGTTGGGTACCCGCAACGGGTCCCCAGTACTTCGGTCCTCAGGACATCGTGCAGATCCTGGCAGAGCGTTTGGTTCACACCGAGACGGGTCGGCAGCTGACGCCCGTGGCCACTGAGTCTGCGTTGAAATCCATCGGCTTCAGTGTGTGTCTAGGCAGATGCCGCAGGGTTCAACATGGTTCAAACCATCAAAGTTAAGCAATATATGGGATTTTTATGGGATTTACACATGTTTATACTTATTTAACCATAGTTTAACCATATTTTATAGTGTTAAACATGGTTCGACCATGAAATTTAAACACCACATATTGATTCAATGTGAAAAACCCAAGAATAAACCATCCCCAAATGGTTTTGTTTATGGCATTGGGTTGCCCACATTATGATTATTCAACCTTTTTTTATAGGGTTAAACATGGTTTAACATATTATACATATTATACATATATATATAATTATATATAATTAGTGTTGATAGTTATATAAGCCCAAGAGTTTCACATGGCTTAATTATGAAGAACAAGAATAGGTGTCTAAGATGGTTCAACCATCAGTCAGGCGCCGGAATCCGCATCATTTCCCCAACATAAGAATGGAGATTATCCACCCTGGAAAAATGTAGGGGAACATGAAATCAATGGGAATTTCAGGATCCTAGAATGGAGGTACCTACCATATATAAGGCCTATATAAGGCCTATGTAAGTGAATATCACGAAAAAATATGGCCTTATATGGTACAGTACCTCCATTTTAGGATCCTGAAATTCCCATTGATGAAATGGTGAGTTATGACAATGAAACACTTGGCATAAAACATAGGGTTATTCAACTAAGACAAATGGTAGAAACTGTTTCTTTGGTAGTTATTTAGTGGGGTATTCAACCAAGAAAATAAAAATATATTTCAGCCTAAAACATAGACATAGTTGGCATTGGATTAAAGCACAGGGATTTAACTTAACCATTCATGTGGGGCTGGGCAACCTCAAAGTGCACCCAGGCAACCAGACCAACCTGCCAAGAAACAGGCCTTGAAGGCGACTGGGATGAAGTTTTGGGGCTTGAGGACTCGGTTCACTCGATGTGAAAAATCTGTGAATCTTTCTTGCGTATCTTGATAGGATCTTTGTTTTGTCAAATATGTTTAAAGATATTATGAGGATTTATGAGGATGTTCATCTTGGGCTGAGTAGCATCTTCTTTTCAGCAGGTCTGAGTCCAGATTTTTTGTATTGAATAACACTGCAGGTCGATGAACGCATAAACGGGTATGCATAAACATTTGATGTCAAGGGACCCAACGGCTATACGGTGTTTCGGCAATTATGTTCTCTTTTTCACCACATGCATCGCCTCATGTCATGTTGTGAATTCAGCCGATTCCCAGGCGATGGAAGAGATACAGAAGAAGCTCTCAGTTCCTTGGAATCCCTGTCTTTGAAATAGGGATTGAAACTCACATGGCTTTGTCTGAAAACTGGGCCCTACTGGTTGTTTTTTTTTCCGGTTTCCACAGGTTTTTCCCAGTGGTTTTCGTCCGGGAAAAAAAAAACTAGCTCCTCCAAGGGAAGCTTCTCTCGAGCCAAGATGAGGGTCAGGAGAAGCGGTGGCTTTTTGGGGGGTTTTGTGCACTGGTTGTTTCTGAAATAATCAATGGCCATTTAATGAAACAACTATGCAACCATATTTTTATATGTGTTTTATTGTTTATTCTATTTTGATATATGTTGTTTGTATTGCTGAACATGTCGTTCTTATCTCACTCATAAAAAAAGGCTATAATGACCATTGCCCTGGGATATAACCAGTAATAGTGGGACAATAACAGGATATTGAAATAGCTATATAACAAACTTGATATATATCATATTTGCATAGATCATGGTGATTGAACCATCAAAAAATGGTTCAACATTGTAGATTTATCTAGCCAACATGTGATTGAACCAAACATGCTAGGGCTTTACCAGTGAATATTCGATTTGGGTCTGTCTGAAAATGGTGGATATCTTAAAGTTGCAATTTTAAGGTGTGAATACGGCTGATTTACGATGTATTTTTGGGGTACCCAGTTTTCAGACAAACCCGAATTGTTGGTTTTTCTGAATCTAGATTTTAGCAACTGTGCTGGAAATTAAGAACTAGTTATGTATATATATATATATATTACCCTCTGGTAAATTAACATAGACCCTGGCAGATAGGGGTTGGAAGACTAGTTTCCATTAAAAATTTGCTATTTTCAGGGTCAACAAGTTTATTTACCAGAGGGTATATTAGTTCAACAGTCGGAAGCATACGTTGTTCGTTGATCCTGCACCCATCAGTTGGTAATGTGTTGAAATATCTTCTCACCCTGCCCTGAGAGGTTTCCCACTCGGGCTATGATCACCATGCCCAGTATAGTATTGTGACCATGGTGCTTCACATTCACAACGTGAGCTAAGTGCCAGGATGGCAGCAGCCAAGTACAGTAGATAGAGATTCCCACAAATCCGAATGATGAGCATAGTGTAGTTCTCAAACCGTCCCAATGACAAGCAGTTTGCTGCAAGTCCCAGCAACAGAACTTCTGCATTTGCTCATCATGGCAGGTGAAACATATATTGAAACATATCCCCTTCCACGTACGGCTTACGAGATGCTCAACCAAGCATTTTCACTGCAAACTGCGTTTGCCGTACGCTATCAGCTATCAGCTTGGGCCGGTTCCTGTTTTTTTTCACTGCAGGATGACATTTCCTGACCATCTCGAAGAAATCCATCAGTATCTCCTAGAGGATTGCTCTGCCACGCCACTTGGCTGTGCAAGTTGGTTGGTGTGAAGCGAGAAGTTTTGGATGGACCATGGAGCTCTTGGAGAAAATCACATGGGCACAAACAGGCGCACCGCAATGCAACATACACACATATATATATATATATTATATAATATGTGTGTATATATAATTACATATGTTTGATTGTGTTTCTTTGTTTCATTGGAAACAAATAGTATGCTTGTTTGTTAGATTGTTGTGCAGGCATGTCATATATGGCAGGAACAGCAACAGACCGTGCTTTCGGGTCGAGATCCATGTTGCCCAGGATTGAGAAATCTGAAGTGTCGCTTGGCATCGCTCGGATTGATGGTCGCGAAAACATGCTTCCACAGTCAGAAAGATCAGGGCCAGGAGGGTCCAATTTTTTACAACTATTTCAACCAGGAGTATGATATAACATTATATTATATCTATAGAAATATATACATAAAAACTATCTATATATATATATACATATATATATACATATATATATACATATATATATATATATCACGAACTATTTGCAACCCAACTTAGGAGATTCATGATGGAACAGGCCTAGGTTTTCTTGACATCCCCAGGGCAACCACAGAGCCTTCGACGCTGGAGGATGAAAATGACACTTGGAGGTAATTTCTGGTGGAATTGGGGATGGTTTGTATTGGCTTTAGGACAAAAAAACTAGGTTGATATCTGAATTTGTAGATGATCCATTATTATATAAGTATTGCAGTAAGATTGACAATATCAAGTATATACCACAACAATTTAGTAAATTAAGTATTGATATATCACGTATATTTTTAACTATATACATCTATATACATATTTACTATTTATGTAGTATACTGCAATACATGTGCAAATTTTGTTGATGATATTCCTACTTGTCAAGTAATCCCTCCTGCAGACTTCTCAAACCAATCGCCAATGGCAGCAAGTAGCTAAGATGGCTTTGTTTATTATGTGGATATTAGTCTTATGGTTCATGGTCGTTGGTCACCTTGTGATGGAATACTATAGTAGTTAGAAGCTCCATTGTTTGTTGCTGAATACACGGTTGCTTGTTACCCACCTTGGTGTTTCTGTTCGGTATGTGTCTTGTTATATCCCTATGATTCCCTATGACTCACATTTATATGCCATATTGCGGAAACACCTAACTGGCCATATCCTCTACCTGACCTAAATTTGAGTTAGACGAACATCCATAAGTAAGGATCAGCTATTCCGATGTGAAAGGTAAGGTATTGGGGTTTTGATGGTTATAGCCAAGTGGTTCAATTTATTTAGTTTTTTACATCTATGGATGAATAAATTCACATATGTTTATGGTTAAACCGCATGTTGCATGGTTAAGTCACCATTTCAATTTTTATTTGGTTCAGTCTCTATGTTTGTCATCGATTTTTTAACCCAAGGTGCCGATGTTTGTCATGAAAACCAAGGACAAGTCCAAGGCAAATGCCACCACACCGCCCAAAAGGAACCTTGGGAATGACAGGATATGGGGATGATCATTGGCTAGTGAGGGATAGATTGGGTATTGTAAAAGGGAATTTACCTATAAGAATAGTCTATGTTGGTATATATTAATTTTAATTTGATATATATATATATATACACATACACCAATTTGGTGTTGGTTGTTATGTTGTTGGGGTTCTAGTCATGGGGGTGAAAACAAGCTAATTATTGGGATACCTTTTATAGGGATATCCCAGCAAGAAATGGAAATTCACCAGCGGAGATTTGGGAACGAACTCTTCGGGTGGGTGAATTATTGGTGAAAAAATCCAGATACTTTTGGGTAGATTAATCCATATCATATCATAATGTTATCCCAATCTATCTATTATTGGGATCATAATCATTGCAAATGTAGAAAAAATACGTCGCTGTTTTGCACCTCTAAGGACTGGCACACTGCGGAGTCTGACCTTCGTTTGCGATCCAAGTGTCTCGCTATTTCGAGCCCTGGGTGTGAGTAAAATGTATAACAACCCTGGGGAATGCTGGAATCTGCTGGTCAACCTTGGGCGACGTTGGTTGACCAGGTGTGGTGTAAAGTCGGTGTTTTTGCAGTACATTTGATCCATTTGATTTGCTCGTCACGGGTCTTGTGGGCCTTGGAGATGCTTGACGTACAAGGATTTTGTGTTCAGCAACATCTCCTTGTAAAAAATGCTGAGAGTCAAATGATTGTGGTTTGTTGTGGTTTTGCTATATAAAATGATCATTGAATCATTGCCAACTTGTGGCTTCGGGTCGAAATATGAACCAGCGACTTGAAAAAAGAAAGGAACTGCCAAATATTGTTTCCTCAAGAACTCAAGAACCATCTTTGAAGTTAATCTTCCAAATCCACTCCTCACTAGCCAATAAACTACTACCCATATAATTTGGGGATGAATCAAAACAGGATTGACTCAACACCATGGATTTGGGCCAAGAACCTCCATCTACCACTTAGATGTATCAAGGTATAAGTTTGATCACGACTTCACGTCGTTTTTACATGTTTTTACGTCACGTCGCAATGCTGGTTAAGGGAAATCATCCCAATTAGCCTTAATTCAGGTCAGTGAAATACTATAATTTACCATCCCAATTAGCTATATAGTGAAAATACTATAATTCAGGTTAGTGAAATTTCATCCCAATTAGCCATATATATACCTGCAAATCCTAGGTATTTGATCTTATTTGTTCACCAGAAAATCCAGGGTGACTACAGACAGCCTCGCTAAGGCCACTACAGAGAGCTGGACAGACTTGCCACCAAGGTGGGGGCTGGGTATGCTGCATGGCATCATGAAATTAGGACGAAAAAACGCGATGTGTCAAACTTGAGACTAAATAAATCTCAAACATGTTCCTTCGTTTTGCCATTTGATCACCAGATCCATTGAAACAATCCAGGTTTCATCGTGCATGTAATTACACTTTCCTTGTAATTACATACCCTGTAGCTACATACGGATGGAGAGCGAATCTATTTCCCCATGTTCAACTTCTCCAGACTTGAGACGCTTTGCACCTTTTTACACCATTTTTTCTTGGATTTTTCCACCAGGTGCATGCTGGCGAGAATGTGTCTCTGCATGTGGTCACGCAGAATGCCACTGGGTTCTCGAGATTTTCGCGGCTGGAGGTGTTGCCTTGATCGAGATGGGGGACGAACTGACCTATGAGCTGAGACTCCTTATAAACCATCCAGTATAATGGGATGCCATATGTCTACCAATGGATTTATGGAAGAAAAACGTGAAAAAAGTGGTATAACTATACCCTAAATGTATCATAATCTACTGGTAATAACCATAATGAAGCAACAATTATGAGTGGGGATGCCGCATTTACAGGCTCAAATTGATTGTCGGTCGCTGCAAGAGTTCCTGAGCGTATGTAATTAAACCCTCATCCTTTTCCCTTCCATGTTCATGTGACAACCTTTTTTACTGTACCATATAAGGTACAAGCAGAATACATGCATTCTATACATGGAGGATGTATATATACCCCCCAAGACCTACCTTTTTGTGGTTTTTACTGGTATTTGCAGTAAATTATGCACATTTTGAGCTTATATGTTTGGTTGCAGTTTTGGGTCATGTTTTGGTTGACTTGTGGAGGGTGCCATATAGTAGTACAACACGAGGCGGTGGCGGAAGTTTCAAAAATAGGAAACCTATAGGGGAGATTGGTTGTTGTGAATCAGGGATGGCAGAGCGAAGCGACTGATGGACTGAAAGGTGCTTGGTCTCTCTCTCTCTCTCTCTTTTTTTTCTCTTTCTCTCTTTTTCTTTCTGTTTCTCTATCTTTCTCTGATTATCTACCTACCTACCTACCTACCTACTGATCTATCTGTCTACCTATCTAAATATCTGTCTGTCTGTCTATCTATCTATCTCCCTGTCTATCTACCTACCTATCTATCTAGCTGTCTAGTTTTCTAGCTATTTGTCTATCTACTAATCTATCTATCTATCTATCTATCTATCTATCTATCCATCTATCTATTTATCTATCGATCTATCTATCGATCTATCTATCTATATGTCTGTCTATCTATCAACCTATCTATCCATCTATCTATCGATCAAACTATCTCTCTACCTAGCTGTCTATCTGTCTATCTATCGATCAAATTCTCTCTCTCTCTCTATATATATATATATGTATGTATATATATGTATATCTGTTTGTCTGTCTATCTGTCTATCTGTCCATCTATCTGTCTATGTCTCTACCCATTTGTTTATGTACCTGTCTTGGTATCTAACTATCGGTCTATGTGTCTATGTATCTATCTGTCTATCTCTCCATCTGTTTCTCTAGCTGTCTCTCTGTGTATTTATCTATCTGTCTATCTGTCCATCAATCTATCTATCTATCTGTCTATCTATCTATCTACCTATCTATCTATCTATCTATCTATCTATCTATCTATCTATTTATGTATCTATCTCTGTATCTATCCATCTATCTACCGATCAAACTATCTCTCTATCTATCTGTCTATCTGTCTATCTATCGATCAAATTCTCTCTCTCTCTCTCTCCCTATATATATATATATATATATATCTGTCTGTCTGTCTATCTGTCTATCTGTCCATCTATCTGTCTCTGTCTCTACCCATTTGTTTATCTATCTGTCTTGGTATCTAACTATCTGTCTATGTGTCTATGTATCTATCTGTCTATCTCTCCATCTATTTCTCTAGCTGTCTCTCTATCTGTCTATCTATCTGTCTATCTGTCCATCTATCTATGTATCTATCTATCTATCTATCTATCTATGTATCTATCTATCTCTCTATGTATCTATCTATGTATCTATCTATCTATCTAATCTATCTAATCTATCTAACCTATCTATCTATCTATCTATCTATCTATCTATCTGTCTATCTGTCTATCTGTCTATCTGTCTATCTGTCTATCTGTCTATCTGTCTATCTGTCTATCTGTCTATCTGTCTATCTGTCTATCTGTCTATCTGTCTATCTGTCTATCTGTCTGTCTATCTATCTATCTATCCATCTATCCATCTATCCATCTATCCATCTATCCATCTATCCATCTATCCAATCTATCTAATGTATCAAATCTATCTAATCTATCTAATCTATCTAATCTATCTAATCTATCTCACCTATCTGTCTATCTATCTATCTATCTATCGATCTATCGATCTATCGATCTATCGATCTATCGATCTATCGATCTATCTATCGATCTATCTATCTATCTATCTATCTATCTATCTATCTATCTATCTATCTATGTATCTCATCTTCCCAGCTGGCTCTGCGCCCGCCGCTTTAGCGAGCCTACCTTTTCGCGCATCTGCATCTTGTTTCTGCTGACTCTTTCGCTTCTACTCTGCTCTCTTCTAATCTTTCTCTTCTCTCTGCCTCTGCCCTGCTTTGCTTTTCATCTGTCCATATTTGGTGAAATTTGACTTCTAAACTTCCTTCATTTATTTATTTATCTGGTAAAACAATAATTTTTTTATGTGGTAAAACAATAATAACTAGATGGCAGAAGTGAAGCCGGTGCCCACACTCAACAGGCCTTCGACTGTGGCGAGCTCTTGGCTCTTGATGTTAATGAGAAGATCCTCTTACACGGCACAGCTTGGGACAACGCCAATTCCATTGTTCGGGAGGCCTTCGGCCATCGAACTTGCGAGAGTGCTTTCTATGGCAAATGGAAGTGCAGATTGCTTGTGTGGCGCTGGGTGATTCCAGAACCAAGAAGACATGGTTCATCTGGCATCTATGATTCTATTGTTGTAGAGCCTGGCTTGATCAACGGCCATCACAACAAGCAGCAAGTTCATCAATAATTAGTGTAGTTTGGTGTAATTAAATGTAAATAATGTTAGTGTAATTAGTGTTGCGTCATGTTGCGTACTATGTTTGTATTTTTAGCAGTAGTGGTAGTGTAGTGTAGTGGTAGTTGTACTGGTAGATGCAGTTGTCTATCTATCTATCTGTCTATCTGCAAGCTTGAAAACGAAGCTATTCTGCGAGAATTCCTCCATATTTTTACTTGACAGCTTCAAAAACGAAACAATTCTGCGAGACTTAAGTTGACAACGTCAAAAACGAAAAACTTCTGCGAGACTTCCTCAATTTTCGAAGTTGACGACATCAAAAACGAAAGAATTCTGCGAGACTTCCTTCAAAAATGGAAAGTTCAGTGCAGCGCTGACACCCTCGTGCCAATGCGTTTTGCGATTTTTCTACTCCACCTATCTAAAGTACTGCGATTGCCACGAAAAATTGATGCCAGGTCATACGAAGTGCTGCACCTGTCACGCAAAATCATCTTAGCAAACCTACACTTCTGATACTCCAAAATGCAACCCCTCTCAGGAAATCAGCGCCCTGACCTCCCAACCTCTCTCATGAACATGTCTTTTGTACTGCGCCTGCCACGGAAAATGCATCTTTGGAGATCATGGAAAATGCAACCCCTCTCAGTTGGCCAGATGAGAGATGAAAAATTGCGTGCTGTTGCGGCGCGAAGCTCAGTTCGAAGTCAAAACGCACAAAACACACCATGCTTGGACCGCTGTTGAAAGTTGAGATGTCGAAAAAGTGCACGCCATTGTGGCGCGAAGCACAATTCGACGCCAAAATGTGCAAAACACACCATGTTCGGACCACTTTTGGAAGTTGAGATGTCGAAAAAGTGCACGCCATTGTGGCGCGAAGCACAATTCGACGCTAAAATGTGCAAAACACACCATGTTCGGACCACTTTTGGAAGTTGAGATGTCGAAAAACTGCACGCCGTTGTGACCCGAAGCACATGTCGAAGTCAAAATGCACAAAGCACGCCATGCTCGGACCGCTTTTGGAAGTTGAGATGTCGAAAAAGTGCACGCTGTTGTGGCGCCAAGCACATTTCGAAGTCAAAATGACCAAAACACCCGGGGTTCGGACCACTTTTGGAGGTGCGGATGTCGTTTCGCGTGGCAGGCGCAAGGGATTGTGCACCTTGTCAAAAGTGCGCAAGACGTGAGGGTTTTGGGGCATTTCCAAAAACCATGGCAGGTGTCTTTGCATTTTCAGTGGCAGGTGCAGTACAAGAGACATGTTCATCAGAGCTGTGAGGAGGTCCGGGCGCTGATTTCCTGAGAGGGGTTGCATTTTGGAGCCTCAGATCTTCAGGTTTGCTGAGATGATTTTGCGTGACAGGTGCAGCACTTCGTATGACCTGGCATCACTTTTTTGTGCCAGGCGCAGTACTTTAGACAGGTGGACTGGAAAATCGCAAAACGCAATGGTACGAGGCCGTCAGCTCTGCACTGAACTTTCCATTTTTGACGGAAGTCTCGCAGAATTCTTGCGTTTTTGATGTTGCCACCTTTGAAAAATGAAGAAGCCTCGCAGAATAGCTTTGTTTTCAAGCTTGCAGATAGACAGATAGATAGATAGATAGATAGATAGATAGTTAGATAGATAGATAGATAGACAGATAGATGGAGAGACAGCTAGATAGGTAGATAGATAGCTAGCTAGATAGATAGATAGCTAGATAGATAGATAGATAGCTAGATAGACAGATAGGCAGATTTACTATTTTTGAACTTCCGCCACGGTTTTGCGCGGTACCTCCAGGAGCAAGCCGCCGTTCTCCTGGACGCTGAGCCGACGTCAGCGAACAAACGGCTTTTTTTTTCTTGGCGCATGGCTGCCATGCGGCGCTGGATGCGCCGAAAAAAGTGCCATCAGAGGCTGTGGACCAAGCAACGAGGGTTGCTTGGTCCACAGCCGGGCTCAGGAGGAATTCACCGCGACTGCCGTTTGTGCTTGGTTCGTTGTGTGATATTGGTTTTGAAGTGAACTCCTCTAAGCCCTATCAAGGCCTCCCGGCTTTGACCACGTTTCTCCAACGGGAAAGGGTAGCGCTTGGCACCCTGTTTTTTCCGCCTTCCGTTCTGAGATTATCCGGCGATGCCGGAGAAATTTTGGGAAAACTTGCACGGGACACCCTTGGACAGTCTAAGGCGGAGTGGGAATATGTTCCTACTCCACGCCGCGTACTGGGAAAGTCCGTGCTTTCCCTTTTTTGCCGGGCTACAGGCGGCCCGAAAAAATTGCAAGACTTGCTGAGGGCAGGGGACGTGGATCGTCTCATCCACGTCCTCCAAAATCAGCATGTCGCAGCGGTGCCCGGCTCAGTGCCGACCGCAGCTAGTCTCACCTGGATGATCGAATAGTTTGTTACTATAGCGGACAACCACTTAGAATATTAGACTAACTTTTTGAATAAGATAGAATATGTTTTTAAGCTGTTTTATTTGGTTGAGATAGCAGTTGGAATACCTCGTTTAAAAATGCAGATAGAATACGAAGAATATAACATTCCCGATCATTTCCGTAGATAACCGCTATTTTGCAACACGCGTCATCATAAATGCAGATACATTATGAAAGATAAAGTGTCCGTAACAATAGAAAACCATTATTTTGCAATACGTCTGAGCAAAAAACGCTATTGTTTTGCAATACTCTTACATTTCTCATGATCAAGTCGATATTCTAAGTGCATTCCATCCCAACAAATTCAATTATGTTCATGCTGGTTTGATGACTTTCCCATACAATATTATCTCAATAGATCGCAAAGAGCTGCTTCCTGGAATCAACAAAATTGGTTGTTGTATGTTATGAATTATATACTTTTTCGGCTCCCTGTAGAACGATATTTTGATTTTATGGGTGACAATGAATCATAGGGATATTCTAAGTGCATTCCATCCCAGCAAATTCTATTATTATTATGCTTTTTTTGGTATTTGTCCATATTCTAACTGCATTTTTCCCCACCTGCCAGGTGAGGGTTGTTAGATTTTATCAGAGCTGTTCTCCTCCTCCTCCGCCTCCGCATCCCCCTCCTCCATCTCCTCCTCTCCTCCTCCTCGCAGTCCAGATCCCAGTGGGCACTGCCGGACCTCAACCGCGAGTTGCAGATCGCAGTGGGCACTGCCGGACCTCAACCGCGACTGGTCGCAGTGGGCACTGCCGGACCTCAACCGCGAGCTCCAGATCCCAGTGGGCACTGCCGGACCTCAACCGCGAGCTCCAGATCCCAGTGGGCACTGCCGGACCTCAACCGCGACTTCCAGATCGCAGTGTGCACTGCCAGACCTCAACCGCGACTTCCAGATCGCAGTGGGCACTGCCGGACCTCAACGGGAAGAAAAGATGTCAGATAGAATGTCAGAAGATATGCCAGATAGAATGCCAGAAAGAATGTCAGAAAGAATGTCAGAAGATATGCCAGACAGAATGTCAGAAGATATGCCAGAAAGAATGTCAGAAGATATGTCAGATAGAATGTCAGAAGATATGCCAGATAGAATGTCAGAAGATATGCCAGATAAAATCAGAAGATATGCCAGAAGATAAAATGTCAGATAGAATGCCAGAAGATATGCCGGAAGATTTGCCAGATAGAATGCCAGAAGATATGCCAGAAGATATGCCAGATAGAATGCCAGATAGAATGCCAGAAGATATGTCAGATAGAATGTCAGAAGATATGCCAGACAGAATGTCAGAAGATATGCCAGAAAGAATGTCAGAAGATATGTCAGATAGAATGTCAGAAGATATGCTAGATAGAATGCCAGAAAAAATGTCAGAAGATATGCCAGATAGAATGTCAGAAAGAATGTCAGAAAGAATGTCAGAAGATATGCCAGACAGAATGTCAGAAGATATGCCAGAAAGAATGTCAGAAGATATGTCAGATAGAATGTCCGAAGATATGCCAGATAGAATGCCAGAAAAAATGTCAGAAGATATGCCAGATAGAATGTCAGATAGAATGCCAGAAGATATGCCAGATAGAATGCCAGAAGATTTGCCACATAGAATGCCAGAAGATATGCCAGAACATATGCCAGAAGATGTGCCAGATAGAATGCCAGATAGAATGCCAGAAGATATGCCAGATAGAATGCCATATAGAATGCCAGAAGATATGTCAGACAGAATGCCAGAAGATTTGCCAGTAAGAACATGTATAAATGCCATGGTGGGGATCATTCGAAGTGAAGTAATTTATATTCTAAGTGTAATATTGCCTCTCCGGAAGGACTATGTAGAGCAGAAGGAGAAGGAAATTCAATTTGGTGACGGAGCTTCCTGGAAAGACATAGAAGCAGACGAAACCACCTTCGACAAGAAAGATGTCAGTGCTCTGGTGACATTGGATGACGCCGCCAAACCGATTGAATGGGAACAATGGTTAGGTGTTGTCCAAAGGTGGAAGCCAGAGACACTGGTACTTCATCGTCTCAAGCCACCTCGCACAGTGCAGCGTGCTCCTGGGCCTGGAGCAGTTCGCAAAGTGGAGTGCCGCCCGTTTGCCCGGCGCTGGCTTCAAGACAGGAAAGTGATCTTGCACACTGACTCTGCCAAGAGCTATCGTCTGCGACTTCCTGGTGTCCTCCATGATAAGTTGTCCACTGCAAGAAACGCGTCAAAGTCCGCGGGGTATGAAAATGGTTGGTTCCCCGATATACCAAAATAGTGACGCACAAGGTGCCCAACAGCAAGAAAACCTTGCGTGTAAAATCGGGAACGCAAATTATTGATCGTTGTTGGCGCTTTTTAAAAGACCGCGTCACATTGAATCAGAATGCCAAGGTGGGTTCGCACATGTTGCGCTGCAAGTTGAGGTCGGCCCAGTACCAGCACTGGTTGAAAAACCAAGACTTGTGGCTTGCAACTGGCAACCTGTGCAAGTGGTCATTCGACCAGCGCCTTCCTGCTTGATCCTGTGCGCCTGCGGTGGAAAAAATGTGTCCGGCTGCAGGTGTGCTTCCCATGTTCGCATACTCTCTCCTCATCATCCTGGCACATCTTCTCAAATAGGGGCAGGTTCTATCTGGTGGCTCATGCGCTTCCCAGGATCACAAACTGTCTGGTCATCCATCGCCTGGTACACTTCCTTAACTAAACCCAAATTATGTCTGGCTGCCTGTGCGCCGCATAATCTCTTCTCATCATCCTGACGCATCTTCTCGGATAGGGGCAGGTTCTATCTGGTGGCTCATGCGCTTCCCAGGATCACAAACAGTCTGGTCATCGCCGGGTACACTTCCTTAACTAAACCCAAATTATGTCTGGCTGCCTGTGCGCTTTCCATGGCTGCAACCGTTCCGGGCATTATCTGACACATGTAAGCCCAAAAAAGGTAGGTCTTGGAGGGGGTAGCATATATATATATATATATATTTATATATATATATATCGATTGATACATTTGTGTAATTCTGTATTCAGTGCGGAATGTGTATGTTTGCATATATTATCATATGTGACATATGCTTGCACATAGTATACTGTACATGTATATTGTATGTCTAAATTTGATCACGACCTCACGTCGCGACGTCGCTGCAATGATGCATTCTTTCGGGGAATCATTCCTTTATATGGCGTAACTTTTGGCCTATTTGTTTTCATTGTTATATTACCTGTTTTATTGCATCCATATAAAAAAGGGATATGGATACATATGGATTCGGATACATAATGTTTCTCCATTCATACTAACTGTTGGCAGGCATATCCACATATATCCACATGTAGGGTACCCAAACTTGTAAAGTAAAACAACTACTTGTAAGATGACTCTAACTGTTTGAGGTGGTGTCCGCCACAACAACAGGCGGGCTTTGCCAGCGGTCAACAGAGGGCGTTGTGAACTGGTGTTGCAAACACACCCCGGGAGAGTGACGTCAGGTGTAAAATTCAGCACTATGTTTGAGTGGGTTTGGGATTCCTGCATGCTACTTTTTTTTGGTACAAGTGATGCAAGTAAACCAGTAAGCCATTGAGTTTGTGTGGTGCTTGTTGACCCTTTCGAATGAAACAGCTTTCCTGTTGAATAGCTTATGTTCCATACTGAGTCAAACTCCATGTATGTTTTCCCACCATTACGCATATCCGATTGGTAGATAGTATACCTGTGTGTTCTAGTCCTGCATGTTTCTTGACCACTGCACCCTTTCTATCCCTCAAGTGTTTCCTTAAGCATGACCTCAAAACAACAAAATCATACCCTACATGCTCCATGTATGGAACATTTACCATTATTTGCCCCCGAAATCACCCTTCAATGTACGCAAATATGTCATACAGCTCGCACATTGGTACTACATTTAGATGCCATTTTTCTTGGCGAAAAACGGGACCCAGATGAACAGACCACTTTCTCCTTGCAGATGGGGACAATCCACCATTTCTATCAATTTCTGGATTCTTTCCTGGGGAAGCCATTGTTTTCCACGGCTTAGTTCACCCCAGAGTATCCCCAGAAAATGACGCATGGGTTTACCACCGTGTAGCATACTGCACGGGTATCATCATGAACAATACATATAATCTCCTTTGATTCCAAAATATACTGACACTACCATGCCCCTTTTTGTGAACCCCATTAGCATCAGTATATCGACCTGTATAATTCGCCAGAGATTTGCCAATGTTTTTTCATGTTTTTGTTTTCCCGATTGATCAATGAACAACATATCCAATTGATATCCTTAGGATTTCCCCAAATGCTCCATGTACGGTACGTTTACCGTTCCTATTTTAGAGCCATTTTCGGTGGTAAGTGAAGCTAAAGACGCCACACATGGAGCATGTGGGATATTTTCTTATGAAATACACATCCCCTTTTTTTGATTATAACATTCGAGTTTGGCTGGTGAAATTCCAGTAGTTTGGGGTGTAAAGTTCCAACATCTTCAGTCATCTATTAATGTATAATATATTTATTTGATGCATCCTGATTATACATCTGTAGTTAGCTAACGATGGTGAATAACAACGTATTCAATCCTAGTTGCTTCTGAATATCTAGAAGCAATAGTTAATAGCAATGTTATTAGCCAATGGTGCATATCTTAGGGCTAATATGAAGGAACATCATATTAACATGTTTAATACAAGGGTTTTTAGCAAATACCAATATTACAATAATCTATTTTTTAATATACCCATTGATTGGATGGTCATTGTTTGTTTATCAAAATGCATTTTGATATACTAGTTGGTTACTATCAGTACGAATAGCAATACACATTGCTTCGTTATAGATACTGTATTATCAAATATCATTAGCCAATGATTAATATCTTAGGTCTCTTAATTTCCTATTAATAAACACATTAATCAATATCAACGATCTATACTAAATGGGGTATTATCCTAAAAAATCACATTTATTGACCAATGATAAATATCTCAGATAATCTTTGATCTCTTGATCTTCTTCCCATCCAGGCCTCGAGGGCTATCCCGAGGAGCGGGGACCCGCGCCCGCGACAGCCACGCGGAACGCTGCGCCAAAGCCGGCGCCGAAGAAAGGCAGAGCCGGCGCCCACAGTTGTTTTATAAACCCCATAAATATCCATGACTATCCGTGAATATCCTCTAATTATAAGATGTTATAAGATGTTATAAGATGTTGTAAGATGTTATAAGGTGTTATAAGATGTTCTAAAATGTTGTCAGATGTTATAAGGTATTATACAATGTTTTAATATGTTACATTTAATTGATATGTTATAATGTTATAAGATGTTATAAGGTGTTTTAAGATGTTCTAAAAAGTTTTCCGATGTTATAAGGTGTTATACGATGTTTTAATAAGTTATATATATTTGACATGTTATAATGTTTTAAGATTTTATAATATGTTGTAAAATGTTATAGGGTGTTTTAAGATGTTCTAAAATGTTTTCAGATGTTATAAGCTGTTATACGATTTCTTAATATGTTATATTTAATTGATATGTGTTAATGTTACAGTATGTTATACGATATTTTAAGATGTTTTAAGATGTTGTAAGATGTTTTAAGATCTTACAACATGTTTTAAGATGTTATAAGTATCATAAAACATAGTGAAATTGGAATCGGATTTATGTTCACCAACTTAGCCTCATGCATCCCAGTTGTTAAGTGGTTTTGAACCCAACTGTGCAACTGGGTATATTCCATATAGAACTGGGGGTATTGCCCATTTGCTGAGGGAGATGCAGCCCCAGGTAGGTAGTCTCGGTAGAATTTTATACTTCGACCATCTTTAACTACTTGAAACTCTTGTTATAGAATAAAAAAACCAGATGATATAGGCTATAAGCTAGATGGGGGTGATATAGGTTTCCGCATATCTACTTCAACCCACTTTCAACTATCTGGAACATTATAAATGGGGATATATTGCCAGATGAGAACATGTTCTTTCATCTAAGTTTGGCCATGTGAAGGGAAAAACCATGTCTTTACCATCCCTATCAGTCCACCAATTTCGGAGAGCATAGTAGACTCTTGGACTAATTACACAATACATACATACATATATATATATATATATACCTAGGTCTTCAAAAGATCAAAAAAAATTGGTCGACCCCTAGTGTTCTACTTTTTCTGGACGCTAATTCAAAAAGCAGACGTTTTGGTCGATATCTCCAAAAACCGGTCGTGAGCTTTATGCCCTCCACTGCAACCTTGATTTTTTTTGTCATTCCCCGACCACCTGAACTGATTATAGATTTCGCTCATGGAAAAAGCCTGGTTTCAAATGGTCTCTCACAAAATAAGTCGTGCATCCCAATCCGCATGGTGATGTGCACACACACACACACGCACAGTGTTCAAACTTGCAATCATGACCATGCTTCTTCCAAAAAACATAATTCCGTGAGAACTCTGCAAAAAAGAAGCAGAAGGCTTAAAATTTCCATTTTTTTGCATATTGCCGAAAACATTAAAAAACAAAGTGACCTAGTTTTTGGGATTTGTAGGCGTTTGATGGTTTTTGTAGTCGTTTTGAAGTTTTTTGAGGGAGTTTTGAAGGTTTTTGTAGGCGCGAACTTTCGCATAAAACGTGCACATCGCACCCAAAAATGAACATAATCTAAGAAATGGTGAGCCAAAGAGTCTGTCGGTGGCACTTCAAAGCCGATTGACCAGCTAACATGGCTGGTCAGAGTTTAGCGTTTTGATTTTATTCGCTTATGGTGGATAGAGGGTAGGTGGTGGTTGACCCTGTCGATTTGCGGGCCACTTGTCATTGCTTCACTTAGTTTTATCAATGGCTGGCCCACATTAGGGAATTCAACTGACATGGGATTGAACGAGGTTGAATGCGTAACATGGTAATGCAGCATGAAATGAAACCAGGGAAAACATAGGTAAATTGCAAAAGTAGGCGCTTTGGTGAAGAACTACTTTTTCTGATCGATATCTCAAAAAGAAGTCAACAACCTAGTCTCCCAGAAAAAAGTGCTACGAACGAAGACCTAGGTATATATGTATATATATATGTACGTGCATATTATATAGATATACAAATAGTATCACATAGTCTAGTAATTGTTGTTTTCTGAGTATTTCGGGTATCATTTTGTTATTTGAAATTTTCAGGTACGTGTATGTATATATATATACATACACCTGCCAAATTAAATCAAAACACCATGCCCTGAATTTTGCAAACACCGGAAAGTAATGGAACAAAAAAATAGGTGCTTCAGCTCGCGACATGTTTTCCATGGAGATTGGGCGGCGACCCCTCTGCCTCCGGCTTGGCCAGGCATGAAATGTTCCTCCTGCATGGCCGACTTCGAGGATGCCGGCGACTACCGCTCGCATTGTCGTTCGGAATGGCACAACTTTAATCTCAAACGGAGTCTTGGTCCGCCGGGCAATGGAAGATCTATGAACGTATCTATTTGATGATTTTCTGTTTCAATGCTCATAATTCGGGGGAATGTCTCATTGCTATCTCTGATTGTTTCAGGGTATGGCAAACATGGGTGTGGCAGATAGTGCTGGTTGACAGTGTCTATATCTGTATATGATATATATATATATATATCAATATATATATATATATATACATATAATTATGCAATATAATTCCATACCAATCAAGACTTCGCGGTGTGATTTGCTGTTGCTGAATGTAAAACATGTTCACCAACTATGTTTTGCGCTCGCTCGCTTTCTGATTTTAGTCCCTCAGAAAACCCAACCAATCTTGCAATTTAGGAACCACGGCCTCAAACAGAGGACCAAGGATAGATATGATGGATTTGTCCAACTGACGAGTGTGTGTCCAAGTTTACGGCTAGTTCACTTCTATGGTCCCCAAGTCGTCCATGGAAAACTGTGCTTGATGACTTTAGAACATTTTTTTTCTTTGATTGGCTTTGGCTCCCGATTTCATGGTCCGTTCAGGATTGAGTTGAACATGTTGGACATCCTACGCCCGAGGCTACTCTCTGTGACATATGTTAAGATCTAAGATACCCTATTTGCTTACATACCCGGAACAAAAGTAAACACTTGATTTTTTTTTCTAAGATACCTAGTCAGCCCTAATGATCTTGCGTTGACATGCTATTTTGTTGTAGAAATCGAGGTGCCAGGGTTATGATGCATGGCATAGCCACATGTCAGCCTTCGTGACATCTAAGGAAAGTCAAGGGACTTTCACCCTTGTCGGAGGCACCTGGGCTCCAGCCATGACAGTTATCCTCATGTTGAATAGGGGGATTAAACATGATTTAAGCATCATGTTTACGGATTTTGACCAGCAAATATAGGGACATCATCCAGAAAATATATGAACATATTGTTGGTTGATAAAAATGGATATGGGGTTGATCATCTATAATTATCCATATACCATAACTAAACTATCCATATACTATAAATAAGTTATCCATATGCATGACCAATAAACCCAACCAGCATATGGGATGGGAATTTCGAGAGTTTGGTCACCCAACTTGGGACATGCCACATACCCGAGCTGAGAACGAGGTCCCGTAACGAAGTTTTTGAGTGGATTGGAAGGTTCTGGAAACTGAGAATGTGAATGTGTATTTATATATATATATATAATGTATATACATATATATATATATTATGTATATGCATATTCACACATGAGCAACCGCATTGATTAAGGACACTTGAAAGTCACAATATACGATAAGCAGGTATTGCTCAGGATCCATTGTTCAGGATCCATCATGGGAAACGATATAGACCAGGACTTGTTTATTTTTTCATTCCCAGAAGTGACAAGGAAAAGTTGTTGCTTATATATCATAATATCTAAATTAATCTCCAGAACAAATACATATCCATATATTATATATAATAATAGTAAATAACAATAGTAATATAATAATAAATATCAAAATAATAATATTTATTAATAATAATAAATAAATATGTATATATATATAAACATACATACATACATTGTTTGGATCACGTGTGTATCTTTTGGCCCAGTAAACCCGTGGTTTAACCCAGGATGACTTTGCCGAGCTTGACCTCGACCTCCGTGAGGGCTTCCGGGGCGACTAATGCGACAAGCGTCGGGTGGGGCATGGAGCTTCGAAGTTCATATCCCATAGGATCCATGTATGCTATATATGGTAACATTTACCATCAATATACCCCCAATGCTAGCATATATACCATACAAGGATCCTATGGGTATATATATATATTTATTACAATATGTAACATGCATAATTATATTTTACATGATTACATAAGTTAAGAAAGATGACATGACACAACGGCCTTGATGCAAAGGGCGCATGGGATGATCCCGGGAGTTTCGTTTCACTGTCGTCAGACGTCCGCCGTGTGTGTGCTGCTCCACTGGCAGCCAGTAATCCATTGAAACGGGAAGGTGGCACCATACATATATATAAATATCATAGAGAGATATGACATGCTGGGTACATAAATGTACATACTTGATATTGTAAATAAGCGCATTCAAACCACGGAGCTGATAGCTTCTCTTAACAGAATCTGGTCACGCCAGGATGCAGCTGCCACATGTGTACAGATCCGGCGCGGCAACAGGATCCCTTTGGCATAGACAACGCCACAGGAAATGTGAGCGCTGAGAGATTGACCCTTTGCATCCAATTCAGATTCGCAGCTATCTGATATATGGATAATTATGTCCATATTAAATGTTGCAATTTGATATACATATCTTATGTGATTATTTATATATATATACACACTATCCATATATATATATATATACACTATCCATATATATATATATATATTTATTATACATATATATATATATATATTTATTATACATATATATATATTATACATATATATATATCATGTATGTATACATTCTCTTTTCATCTCATGGAGATCATATGAGCCACCAACAAGTGGCATGGAAATCACCAGATCCTGGGAGAGAACTAACTCGTTTCGAGTTATCTGATCTGATTCCACGAGCCCTTTGGGGCACAGGGTGATTACCCTCTGGTATACCTATTAAAAATGGTGATGATATAGCCATGGTATAGATGGCCCATAGAAATAGATGGTTTACCTATTAAAAAGGGTGATTTTCCATGGCGAACTGTTAAATAAGCAGATGGTAAATCAAGGTGTTTCTGCTGATTTGAGAAAATAAGATTCGTCAAGATATGTTCGAACATGTTTGTGAAATCATCCTTTTTGGTTCTGATCCGTTTGTTTTTGTTGTCATAGTCCCAATTTTTTAATGTCAGCTTTGATGGTTCAATCCCGTTCTTTTTGACCCGTGATGTTCCACATGGTAACTTTGATCCCTGATTGGTTGCTTTCCAGTTTGGTTCCGTTAAATCCCAAGTAACTTGTTGGTCAATTCCCATGTGAAACATCGCTTGTTGGCAGCTTTTTTTTAACACGACCCAAGATCGGCATCATGGGACAGGCCTGGCGCGAGGTCAAATTGCAGGTGGCACCGCAGGCGCAGGGGGGCAACATCATTTTTTCACAAAGCCTCTGGTATTTTAAAGAAAAGATGATGATGATGATGATGATGATGATGTGACGTTCCACTATGCAACATATTGGGGTCGGGAACATCCTTATTCAACCAGTATGGACATTTTTTGTTGTTACCCTTGGAAACTATTCCAACAGTTTGCTATGGAAAACGACGAATATCTTCCGTTCGATTACTTACCTATTAATGGTCATCCTGAGAATGGTGTCATGGTGGGTGATATCCTTGGTTGAAAAATGTGGGATATTAATAGGCTCATTGCAACAGAAATCCAGCAGTGATGCTAATGGCATTGTTTGATGCTAATGGTTGTTATCAAGAAACAGCAACACACACACATATATATATATACATATATATGTATCACTCAACATAGATGCACAATAAATAAACATTTGCATTATATGTACGTATGTTACTGTACGTGCGATTCTATGGATTTATGCGAAAATAAGGAGCCCAAATCCGATAGTTGGCTTACATTCTTGAAGCAACTCCACACTGAAAACCAATGTTTTTTGATGAATATAAAGAATTGGAAGGGGGTTGTACTACGCAAAAAAAATGGTGATGAATATGAGCACTTCGTTCTTGACCAACCAGTATAGTGGAACGACAGTGTTTTGAACTCTGCTCATTTGAACCAAGTTTATGATCACACATTTTATACACCTATTTTTACCCAACATTTGTGCGATTCGTGTCTCTTTGTTTTAACAGTTACGCAGATTCTAAGATATTGGTGTCTGAACATTGTGGACACCTCGTTGAGGAAAATGATGCTGAATCAGTTGATTGGTGGGTTATTCCCATCAAGTGTCCCTAATCTTGATGGTAAACCCAATTAAATCTTGAATTTTTGTGGGTCAATCCTACTAGCAGCATTTCAGGTTATCCCATCTTTAAAGCCATTTGGTGGGCAGCGTGGTGGTATGGCCGGTGGTATGGGAAATTTTCCAGGTCAAAGAGAGCCTATGTCAGCTGGGCCCTTCGCGGCTCGGTCACCATGACTACCCTCCGGTAATGGCTAACATAGCTGTTGGAAAATGGCACATTACCCTCTGGTAAACTAACGGAACTATGGAAAATCACCTTTTTATAATGGGAAAACTCACTATAAATGGGGATTTTCAATAGCTATGTTAGTTTACCAGAGGGTAATAGAAATAGTTGATTTACCGAACTTAAAGATGATGATTTAACATGATTTAACTATAGCTATTTTAGTTTACCAGAAGGTATTTGTTCATTCAAACTACAATCATGGAAGTTTTACATACAGACTATTTCTATACAACTGGGGATAATATAAGCCCAATTGACTGCACACTCTGATCTATATATATATACACATGTATATGATAAACAGATAGTCAAACAGGGGTTGGTTTCCATGTCTTGTTTTGGATGTTTTGGAGATTTGTTTCACATCACTTGAAAAGTATCTGTTGGAGACGGAGACTATATCCCCAGTCTTGTTGGGTGATGTTCAAGTAGGACATGTACTAACCCCTGTTATCATGGGGATACAACTGGATATAGGGGATATCAAAATATGTTTGGATCAATTTACACATGGATATGATTGTTCTAGCCCCTCGTCCCCAATTTCCAATCATAATAGCCTTGGAGTATGGGTAAGACATTGGTCGATTTGCGTGATTCTCTTAATCTTTGGCAATGGATCAAAAGTTGCATGCCCGCAAAAAAATGAAAGGGGCATACTATACAAACATGACCAATGTTGTAGGTTCATTGGTACCCCATGTTTGCGCCAAAAGCAGATGAGTACCCAATATAACAAGCAGCCATGGGGAGAGAATCGCCAAACATGGGCTATCAAACAGTATCAACAACGGTCAGTACCTCGCTTAAGCCTACGTTTTGGCTCGCTTAAGCCTAAGTCCCGGATATGTGATGATAATTGATGATATACATGTTGCTGTGCCAGTTGCTGCCTATGGTTTTGGATAGTAGTTATTATAGTTATGAAATTATCAGTGATGGAAAGGAAGGTTCGCCAACCAGGTGTCATGGTGAACGAGATTATATGTATGATGAAATCTTCGTCGAGTCCCAGCAAAGCCAGGTTTATCCCGTACTCAACGATTCCATTGTCCCTGGTCCCTAAAGAGAAAGCCTAAAGGTGTGTACCCAATGGATCCGATGCCCAAACGATCCCCTTTCGTTGTGCCATCCCCGGTCCCCGGCGGTTCCCGGTCCATCGGTGGTCGGCTGAAGTGATCCGATGTGCATAGTTGGACAGTTATGTTTGAAAGGAGATGTTCCAGGGAAATAGAAATCAACAAATATACCTAGCTATGGTCCAGAACAAAATCAGACTGTGTTCAAGAAAGACAATACACATGTAAATAGATTGCAAAAAAACATGTTTTTCAATACCCTCTGGCAATTTAACATAGCTATTGAAAATGGCCCATGGAAATAGTTGATTTACCGTACTTAAAGATATTTAAAGATGGTGATTTTCCAGTTCGCTATGTAAACGTTTACCAGAGGTTAAATGCAGCTTTCTGTTTTTGTCACATGGGGGCCCCGCCAAAGGTACATCAAATTGGGACAAGCCTTGGCCTCCAGCAGCTTGGCATTTCGAAAGGAGGAGGTAAGGTCAGGGTCATTCAGGAATCATCCCCCCCTAGATAGCTAAGTTGGTGCAAATAACTCCAATAACTATGGTTTATAGTACTTATAACTATAGTTACTACATAAAATCTGGTCATTTAACAGTTCGCCATGGAAAATCCCCAAAATAAATGGAGGTATCTAGCTGGGAAAATCATCTATACATGGGCCATCTAAACCATGGCTATGTTCAATAACCAAAGGGTATATCACCAACCTGGTGTCATCCTGGGGAATCGTTTGAGGTTAGTGATTTATGTGAGATAATTCAGCCAGATTGGTGATGGAAAACTACCAAGAATGGGGACATTCAATAGTAATATGGTGATTGAAACCGCAATTGATGGTGTAAGATGGGCCTATACGGGCTTGTTTAATGGCGATTATGAAATATCACGGACGAATCCCTTATGGAAACCCGCATCCACTAACAATTGGACGTGGATGACAGTGTTGAGAGCGGTGCTTGTTTCCGCGCACTACTGTGCCAGCAACCCTGCTTCGGAACTAGCATGGTACTGGGTTCATGTTGTTTCTTGTCTCGGCTCCCCTGAAGTTGTCTCAGGTCGGTGTGCCGTGGGGAAGTGTGTATAAAGGATATATATGATATTATTATTCGATTGGGTCATTGCTTATTGTAAGACCACAAAACGCATAGGCACGCTGAACTTCACCTACATGAATCTACAATTTGTAGTCATAAACCTTCTTATTGTTTGTTTGTCCATTGCAGGGCACACAACGCATGGGCACACTGGTTGTCATAAACGTGTTTGTTTATTTTGAGTATACTTGGTTTGATACTTGTGACATCCAAACGCAGTGGCATGCTCGGTCAAAGAGAATGTGGTGCCCTTGGTATTTCAATGATTTTGTGCAGCACAACAGATCTTGTGCCAACATCGGTGTGCCTGCCATTTGGTGCTAGTGGGTTCAAGTTTGGGAGCTGGGTCGATGT